TTCATCTTTTCTTTAGCATCTTTTTATTCTATCTCAATTCTACCTTTATGCCATCACTGTCTTCCTAATTTTCCCCATTTTGTTGTCCTGTTTCTCTTACTCTTTTTCTGCTTTAGATTTACCCTATTCTTTCTTTTTTTCCCGCTCTTAAAATTTTACCCTACTTATATATCTAATTTCCAATTCCATGCTCTAAGTCCATACACACCTCTCTCTTCTGTCCTCACTATCCAAAAAATTGTTTTTCTCTCTGTCCTTTTGTTGTTTGCTTGAATGTTGATTATATCAATTTTTATGCTTTTTTGTGAGATTGTTTTGCTTATACTTTTGTTTGCTTTGTTTTTGTTTGTTTCTTTGCTTCTGTTTTCCCTTGCCTTGCTTGATATTAGTTGTTTGTAGTTTATATTAATATCCAGGTACTTTATGCTGGCATTTTTTGGGATTAGTGGCTGTTCTATTAGAGTTTTCTCCATATATATGTATAAAATTTGTCCCCCCTTTTCTTTCTTATTCTCTTTCTTTGTCTCTTACTTTTTTTTCTTTTTCTCAATTTCATCTTGGCACTCCTTACTTTTTTTCCTCTCTCTCTCTTCTTTCTCTCCTATCTCCTAATTTTTCTTTCTCTGGTGATGACTTTTATTTGGGGTTATTAATATCTTGAATACATTAGTGTTTAGTGCCTTGTGTGTTGTACTTGGTTGTGTTGTATTCTGTGCCTTTAAATCAATGCAGGAGAGAGAGAACTACATAACCAGATACCAGGAGAAGAGAGAACATGGGGAGACAAAGGAACAGCCCACAAATGAAAGAAAAACTGGCATAACCAGAAAAAGAAGTTAACAAAATGGAGGCAAGAAAACTGTCAAAAAAAGAATTCAGATAAATAGTCATAAGGTGTCTGAAAAGAATGAAATAGAAATTTGACAATATGAGTAAGGACCAAGAGGAAATGAAGAAGAATTAAAAAGAAATGAAAAAATGACATCACTGCTGTAAAGAACACAATAGAAAGCATCAAGCATAGACTAGAAGAAGCAGAGGACCGCATCAGTGAGCTAGAAGACAAGGTAGAAAAAATACCCAAGTAGAGCATCTTCCAGAAAAAAAATTAAAAAGCAGGAGGAGAGCATAAGAGAACTTTGGGACAACATGAAACAAAACAACATCCGCATAATAGGGGTTCCAGAAGGAGATGAAACTGAGGAAGGAATAGAAATCCTCTTTGAAGAAATAATGGCAGAAAACTTCCCTGATATAGGAAAGAAAAAAAAGACCACACAAATCCAAGAAACTCACAGAGTCCCAAGCAAAATGAACCCCCAAAATCAAATCAAATGCACATTATAATTAAATTTGCAAACATCAACGACAAAGTAAGAATCTTAAAAGTGGCCAGAATGAGACAGAAAGTTACATACAAAGGAACTCCCATCAAATTAGCAACTGATTTCTCAACAAAAACTCATCAGGTCAGAAGGGAATGGAATGAAATATACAAAGTCATGCAAAGGAATATCTGAATTCAAGAATACTGTACCCAGCAAGGCTATTAATCAGAATTGAAAGTGAAATCAGGAGCTTCACAGACAAAAAAGGACTAAGGGATTTTATTACTACCAAATCAAAAATGCAAGAAATGCTAAAGGGTCTGCTGTAAAAAAAAAAAAAAAGGAAAGAAAGAAATAGGAAACAAAGAAGGGAAATAGGGGTAAAGAATAAAAATGGTGACAAATAAGTACCTGTCAATAATAACTTTAAATGTAAATGGATTAAATGCCGCAATCAAAAGACATAGGATTGGATAAGAAAACATGACCCATATATCTGCTGTCTACAAGAAACCCACCTCAGAAAAAAGCACACACAGAGACTGAGGATGAAAGTATGGAAAAAGGTTTTTCAGGTGAAATAAAATGAAAAAGAAAAGCTGGGCTAGGAATACTTACATCTGACTAATTATATCGCAAAGTGAAGGACATAATGAGAGATAAGGAAGGCCATATCATAATACTAAAGGGAACAATCTAACAAGAAGAAATAACTATGGTAAACATATACACACCCAAATACAGGAGCACCCAAATACATAAAACAAAAACAAAAACAAAAGAACAAAAAAACCTGGATGATATCAAGGGAGAGATTGACAGCAGTACAACCATAGTAGGAGACTTTAATACCCCACTATCATCATTGGACAAATCCTCTAAACAAAAAATAAGCAAAGAAACATCAATCCTAAATGATTCACTAGACTAGATGGAATTAATTGACATCTTCTGAACATTTCACCCCAAAGCCACAGAATATACATACTTCTCAAATGCACATGGGTCATTTTCAAAGATAGACCAGATGTTGGAGTCATAGGCAAAGTCTCTTCAAATTCAAGAAAATAGAAATCAGCCAAAACCGGTTTGGCTCAGTGGATAGAGCATCGGCTTGGGGAATGAAGGGACCCGGGTTCGATTCCGGTCAAGGGCATGTACCTTGGTTGCGGGCATATCCCCAGTAGGGGGTGTGCAAGAGGCAGCTGATCGATGACTCTCTCTCATCGATGTTTCTAACTCTCTATCTCTCTCCCTTCCTCTCTGTACAAAAAGCAATAAAATATATATTTTTTTAAAAAGTAGAAATCATATTAAGAATCTTCTCAGATCACAGTGGTATAAAACTGGAAATCAAGTACAATAAAAATAATCCAAAAGAATCAAACATATGGAGACTAAACAGCATGCTAATGACTGGTTTACCAGAGAGATTAAGGAAGAAATAAAAAACATCTTGGCAACAAATGATAATGAAAACACAACAATCCAAAATCCATGCGACACAGCGAAAGCAGTCCTGAGAGGGAATTTCATAGCTCTACAAGCCTAATGCAAACAAAACAAACAAACAACAACAAAAAACAAGAAACAATGGTAATAAATTACCTACCCCTACAATTCAAAGAGTTAGAAAAAGAGCAACAATAAAAGCCAAGTGTAAGCAGAAGGAAAGAAATAATAAAGATTAGAGGAGAGATAAACAACATAGAGACCAAAGAAACAATATTATAGAAAAAAATTAACAAAACCAAGAGCTGGTTCTTTGAAATGATAAACAAGATTGATGAACCTCTAGCCAGGCTCACTGAGAAGCAAATAGAGAGGAATCAAATAAACAAAATCAGAAATGAAAGTGGTGAAATAACAATAGCCTCATCAAAATACAGAGGATTGTTAAAAATTCTAATAATAACTCTATTCCAACAAACTGGACAACCTGGAGGAAATGGATATATTCCGAGAAAAATATAACCTTCCAAAACTCAATCAGGAAGAATCCAAACAGCTCAATAGGCCAATAACTATGAGGAAAATGAAAGCAATCATTAAAAAGCTTTCCAGTAAACAAAAGCCTAGGACATACCACTTCACAGAGGTGCTTTACCAAACATTCAATGAATAAATAAAACCTATCCTCCTTAGACTGTTCCAAAAAATTCAAGAGAAATGAACACTTTCAAGCTCCTTTTAGGAAGCCAGCTTCACCCTAATAACAAAACCAGATAAAGACAACACAGTGAAAGAGAATTACAGTCCTATTTCCTCAAGATGCCGAAATCCTCAAGAAAATTCTAGCAATTTTGTTGAGGATCCAGTAGTACATGAGAAAGGCCATACACCATGACCAAGTAGGATTTATCCCAGGAATGCAAGGATGGTACAATATCCACAAATTGGCATATATTACTTGATTCCATTTATATGAAATATCGAGAATAGGCAAATCTATAGAGATGGAAAATAAATTAGTGGTTGCCAGGGAACAGTGGGTGTGGAGTTGTGGTAATGGTTGTACAACACTGTGAATATACTAAAAACCACTGAATTGTACACTTTGAAAAAATTAAAGTGTTGACTTTTATGTTGTTAATTTTATCTAAGTGAAAAAAATTTTAACCTGTTAACTGAGTGGGACCTATAAATACATCAAACGTAAACAATATCGGGAATGGGTAGGACATATGAATACGTCCTTGAAATATATGTTGCACCCTGAGAGGGATGGTATATATTTTTTGTAATCTTTATAAATGTTTGTAAAATTTATAATTTTTTAATTCGATGTTTCCATTTTTTTGTTGGTATTCTTTTCTATTTGTTTGTAATTTTGTATTTTCCTTTGTGCTTTATATATAAATAAATGAAAAATATATATATTTCATTTATTTTAATTAAGTATAAATAAAAAATATATAATAATATGAAAATACATCCCCCAGGTGTGATGTACTGATACGTCCTAGTGAAAGATTACACGCCCGTTACAGGTTGCATAATTAAAAAGGGAACTCCCCGGTTAACAGGTTAATGATTTTATGAATATAGCAATAGAAATAGTCAAGCATTATATTTCATTAACTATTATTTTGTATATATAACAAACTACAGTAATCTTTGAAAAAAATTTTTATTGATAAATCCAGTAAATTTTTGTGTATACACATATAATCAGAACTGCCCTTCTGAAAGAAACATTTTCATTTCTTTTAAAATGAAATTACAATTTTATTTTTTCCCAAACTAAAACTAAAGTCACACTGGGAAAAGATAATTCTAACTCCTCAGCATTACATGAAAATAGGTCACCTTCTTCATAAAAGCAACTTAGAGAACCACATACCATTTTTCTTTTGAGATCTCTACACTTTATGAAATTATCACATACAGAAGTAAAATTCAAAGATTTAACATATAACTTACCCAAAAGGAAATTTACTGACAAAGTTTCAAGCATGTTGTTTTTATATATTCCCCTATTACAATCACAAGATTTATAAAGTTTTCATGTTAGGAAATTTGTGGCTAATGATCAATATGAATATATTCTGAAATTCAGAAAATACTAAAGAAAAACCACATTTATAAAATATTTGATAAAAATATTTATCTCTATTAACATTACAACATGAAGGTACATATTACCAAATTATGAAACTACATAGGGCAGCTTTAAACAATACTCTGAGACGCTTCTTTTTTGACATCTTCTTTTTCAGCTATTTCTTTTTCAACCTCAGCCTTATTTTCCTTTTCCTTTCCATCTTTCCCATTTCCGTTTCCATTTTCCTCCTCTTTTTCTCCATCCTCTTTCTCAGCTTCTCCTTTCTCTTTTCCATCTTTCTCATCATTTCCACCTTCATCCTCATTCCCATCTTCACCCTCTTTTCCATCTTCATCCTCTAATCCAACTTTATCACCTTTCTCATCTTCATCATATTTTTTATCTTCTTCCTCTTTTCTGTCTTTTTGTTTTTCATCTTTACCTTTATCTTTTTCATTTTCACATTCTTTGCCATCTTCCCATTCTTTGCCATCTTTCCCCTTCCCATTTTTACCCTCTTTTTCATCTTCTTCCTCTTTGCCATTTTCTTTCCCCTTTCCATCTTCATCTGCTTTTTCATCTCCTTTGTCTTTCTGGTCTTCTTCCACTTTTCCATTTTCATCCTCTTTTCCACCTTCTCTTTTCTCTTCTTCCTTGTTTTGGTCTTTTCCATCTCCTTCCTTATCTTTTTTCTCATCTTTCTTTTCTCCTGATGGCACTGCTTCTTTCTTTTCTAATCCTTCTTTTCCAACATCTTCCATTTTTTTTTCTTTTATTTCCTCAGGTTCTTTTTCAGGAGCTGGTGCCTATATGTGTAAGAGAAAAAAATCACGATTATATTTATAAATTTAGAATTGTTTCCCCTAAATGTTTAGATAAAATTATATATATTTTATAAAAATAATAACTTCATTTACAAAAAGGTAATTTTCCTGAGGAAAGGCCTCCTAAATATCACACAAGGAAAACATTATAAGAAATAGGATTAACTAAAATATCTCCACACAAACATATACAAACAGACATTTGGCATATAACTTCGGGAAAAAAATATTCAAATAAATAATTTCATTAAATTATGAACAAAAAATACATATTTTAAAATGGCATATTTTTATCAGCTGTTCTCAATAAGTAGCATACCTGTAAATAAAATACATTCCTTAAAGAAATAGTTTGTTTTGTTTCTATAATAGATATAGATTTTTTTACCTTATATCATAGGATCACTTATAAAAATACGTTCCCTCTATGTCTAGGTTTGGTTTGTAAATTTGGCACTTTATTCCATTTTCAATGTTTTACTAATATCTAAAAATATGGTATGCATTAAATATGCAACACAAGAGCTATTAGAAACATTTACACAATAATTTGTCTTGCAATCTACAGTGGAGCAAAGAATCCTGATCTGGGAAAATGATTTACAAATAATACATGTGCTGACAAAAGGAATAGAAAATTAGCTTGCATTTAATAAGCGAGTTGTATATTACTGAATCATGATCATGCTAAGTCACTGCTCCTACTATCCATGCCTGAAATCTCACATTTAAATTCATTTTCTTTATTTTCCCTTTAGATACCATTATACTACTTGCTATAGAGTGAATGTTTGTATCCCCCAAAATTCATATGATAAAAATCTAATCCCCCATTTGATGGTATTGGAGGTGATTAGGTTTTAAGGGAAGAGCCCTCATGAATGGAATCAGTGTCTGTATAAAAGAGTCCCTAGAGAGCTATCTGATGATCTCTTCTATCATGTCGGGACATAGAGAAAAGACTGCCACCTAAAAATCAGGAAGGAGGTCCTCACCAGACACCAAAAATGCTGTAGCCTTGATCTTGAACTTCCCAGCTTCCAGACAGTGAAAAACAAATTTCTGTTGTTTATAAACCACCCAGTTTGTGGTATTTTGTTATAGCAACCTGAATGGATTATGACTCTATAGAACCACAACTCAATTAACGTGTCTCAAATTTTCCTTTTAAATTACAACACAAATAAGATTTCTTTCAGTCATACCAATTATTAAGCTTTTAAACAGACAAATCTGTTAATATTGTAAGATACCTTTATAATTTTGCCTTCTCCATTTTCAGCATTTTCCTTGTATTCTTCTTTAATAACTTCTTGTTTGGTTTCAGCTATTGTTTGGGCACTTGTATTTGCATTATTTTCCATCATATCATCTTTTTTCATTTTCTGTCCAATAACACACAATATTAAAAATAAATATAAAATTTACCTGGTATATTGATTAAATGGCCCAAGTTATTCTATCAGTTGTTGTAATAACTTGTGAAAAATGTTTAAAATAACCATACAAACTTTTTATAATATAATTATCACTAGATACATTCACTTTTATTGTAAACTGATGCATTATCAAAAAAGAGGGATTGGTCGAAACCGGTTTGGCTCAGCGGTAGAGCGTCGGTCTGCGGACCGAAACGTTCCAGGTTCGATTCTGGTCAAGGGCATGTATGTTGGTTGCGGGCACATCCCCAGTAGGGGGTGTGCAAGAGGCAGCTGGTCGACATTTCTAGCTCTCTCTCTCTCTCCCTTCCTCTCTGTAAAAAATCAATAAAATATATTTAAAAAAAAAAAAGGGATTGGGGTCTGGGTGAAAAAGGTGAAGGGATTAAGAAGTACAAAACATTAATGGGAATGAAAAGTACAACATAAAGAATATAGTCAATAATATTAAAATTACTATGTATGGTATCAGATCGGTACTAAACTTAAGGGAGGAAATCACTTCATAAATTATATAAATGTGTAACTACTAAGCTATATACATGAAACTAATATAATATAGAATGTCAACTATAACTGAAAAATTAAAATTAAAAATAAATAAATAAGTCCCTTTATATATATTAAAAATGAACTATGTTCTTCTGGTACAAATCAAATAAATTTTCTTTTCAAGGTGAAACAACAATTTAAATGATGAACACTCAAGGCCAACTGACAGCATCAGGTTAGATGTAGAAATACTAGTGAGATTATCAATTTAGATATATTTGAAAGAGATCATATGGGGACAAAGTGGATTCCATTTTTGTGTCTACAAGCTGTTAGAATATCTTGAATCATGATTGCTTTACCAAGAAAGCTCTTTGCCTAAGTATGTATGTAGTAGAAAAAGCACTGGGTAAAGGGGCCAGAAAAATCTTTGTTTAAATTCTGGATCTGCTACTTAATTGATGTGACCTTGGGCAAAAGCATAGATTTCTAAGCGTATTCATTCCTATGTAAAATAAAGTCATTACACCACATAGAAATGTTATAAGGAAAAAATGATAAAATGTATGTGAAATTGTTTTAGAAACTGTAAAATACAATATAGACAGGATTTTAACATTGAAATCGAGGGCCAAGAAGTGTATTTTAAAGTCCATGATTAAATGAAACTTGTTTTATTCTAGCAATATCTTATATTTTTAAAGGAAATAGTGTTAGCTATTTTCATAATCTATAAATTAAGTACCTAATTTTAGACAATAGTGACCTTCAAATGTGAAATAGAAAAAAATAAAAGAAAATTTCTCTTCTGTTGTCACTATTATTATTAAAACTTCACTTGCTTTAGTTTTAACAATATTTTTAAATCAACAATATCAAAGCATTTTACAAATATGACTACAACACACTTTCTTCAACTACAAAACAATGGGATTACATAACTCTAATATTCTCATATTACTTTAACAACTCAACTAATCTTTAATCAATGATCTCAATAAAACAGTTAACAAAATAAATAAAATTGAATTATATTCACACACTTTCAGCTAAACAAATATAAATAAAAGGGACGAAAGTGAACTTAATATTGAGGTTATTCCTTTTCCAGTGTCTTTAGCCACAACATCAGGGTATAGAAGCCTGTATTAAATCAAGTGTGCCCATTTAAAAATAAAGTACCTGAAAGCACTTTGAAAACTGAAAATTACTATCAAATATTAGTTACTACAACAATTAAAAAAGCATTACTTTGGTTACTATAGTTTACACCTTTTGTTTTTTCAGGAATAAAGGAATTGTAACTATATGAAGTCAAAGGCATAAACATATTATGAGTCTACCAAACTAAAATTTTGTTTTGTTTTGTTTTTCCTAATGAAACTGCCAAAATACAGTGGACAATCACATTTACAGAACATGAACAAATACCATATGGTATAAAGTAATATATTATTAAGTGGGCAGAAAACAAAGAAAACAAAATGATCAGCTGTATGCTTTTCCAAAAATTTATTTCTGAAGAAAAGCAATTTTTCCTCAACATTGCATGTCGAATAGTTACCCTTGGAGTTGGTGTTCTTTTTGGCTTCAACTCTGGTATAATGGGCACAGGCAACTGCAGGGGGAAAAAAACACAACACAAAAAACACAAGTCACGGACTGGGGCGAGGGGCGGGATGGAAGAAATCAGAATTAAAGAATGATCACTAACAATAAAATCCAATTTCTTAATTTAAAAAAAATGGGAGAGTTCAAAATGAGCACCAGGGAAAATTCCTTAGTGTGAGAGTTTTTTCTTAAAACATTAAAAATAAATCTTGTATTAAATATAATATTGTTCAGGATTGCCTTAATTTTAAAATTATATTTTATAATATGTGGGCAGCTTTTTAAAAAGACTACTTACAGCAGACAGTCTGGCTGATCTTCTCTTTGGCTAAGAGTAAAAAAAAAAAATATCAGTTTAGAGAATTATGGATACATAAAATTAGAATTATTTATATTGCAGAGAAAATACATAAATATTGTCATTACAGAAGCAGTTATGAAGTTGATTATAAAATGTCATAGTAGAAATATATATATTTTGATTTCTCCCTCCTGTAGACTCTTCATATAGCTAAGGGGGGGAAAAATCCCAAATTAAACTTCAATTGCTAGGCTAAATGAACACAATCACTAGTAACAAGGAGCATATTTAGAAATGACAATATAGCCCCTTTTTGTAAACTGACAAAGCAATTGTTTTTGCTTAAAAGGAAGAAGCTCCCTCCAGATATTGACAAGCATAATAATGTTGTAAATCCCAATAAGTTTGGAGTTTTCAATATCTACTATATTTTTGAGGGAGCTCACTGACATTCCATATGTACTCATATGGTAAAATATACTAACCAGCATCTATTTGGTTAGCTGCTTATGAGCCTCAAGTTTCAAAACGAGTGTATTTTTTCAAAACTAAAGAAACTTACCTCCTGCCTCATATCACCTTGACCTGCAGCCTAAAGAGAGGAGGAAACCATACAGAAATAAGGTCATCAATATAAACATGTAGATGAGAAAACATTACTTATGGATTAAATTGCAACATAACTGTTTATGATTTTTTCCTGGATTTCTGCTCAAGTAGCTGCGTGTTATTTCCTAGTAGCATGCTACATACTTCTGTGCTTAAATTAATGTGCAAATGTGCACCAAGATGCGAATGCATTCACAAGACTTAAGTTTACACAAATGATAATCAATTTCATCTTTTTGTGTATATTTTATTTCCTAAGAAACAAACATTTTAAATTTTAATATCCACCTGCTGTAGCCAGTGTTAAAACCAAAAAAGTGTGGGGGCAGTCAGAATGAAGATGAAGCTTCATACAATTTCCGTTTTGTCTTATATTTGAGATGCAACTACTTATCTGAACCTCTTGAAAGGCTGGATTATCCACCCCTCCAAGTTCTGCATACAAGAACTACAACCCCCACAATGCTTTGGAGCGGGGGGGCTCTTTGTTACCACGTCAATGCGTTTTTCTGAGGAGCCAGCCGCATTTTTAAAACTTCCCGCCACTACCTGCTGGACAAGGTTGCTGTCAGCTCTGTAAAATAGCAAGACCCATTGCACAGGCCTATGAAAGTGCAGCGGCGGGGATCTCAGAAAGGGGGGTGGTGATTACAAACCATTGCTTCCTGTGCCTGAGCAGCGCTCTAGCCTGGGAATTATCAAGCTATTGCAAGATTCACACAACAGTCCCAGAGCCCAGGGGGATTGCGATTTTATTCCTAGGTTATAGAAATGGAAAGCAGATGGATAAGTAGAAATAATATTTAAAAATTCACAATGCCTTGTGTTAGGACAGTGTTTTACAATTTTACCAAGCATGAAACTGCGTTCGATTTCACTTCTAAGGGACCCCTCCTCCTAAAAGGAACAAACACCAAGCATAATTTTTTTCCTGTCCAAGAGAGGAGCCACGGATTTTGAAGTGAGGGTTTTCAGGAGACCTGTAGCCCTTGAGTAGCTCAGATCAATCCTGCATGACTTATGTGAACAAATCGATGCTATCTCAACATCTACAGCTGTTTATCTGATGCAGTTCTCTTTTATCTTTCCACCTTCAGAGAGAGAGAGAGAACTTGGAGAGCTCCAGATCTCTCAGCCCTGAAGTTGCTAATTACAGCGGCGAATCTCTTCCTCCTCTCGGACAGTTTGAAGTCTGCGCCGCCTAATGGCACAGGATTAACATTGCATAGCCATCTGGCATGACAAGAAGTGGAGGAGGGAAGGAGAAAAATGGAAAAAGAAAACGGGAAGAACAAAGACAAATATGGGAGAAAGCCACGGCTTTCTTACTCCCCCACAGGACGGTTCCCTGAGAAAAACTGGAGGCTGAGGAGGACACGGGTGCCGGGAAGAATGGTTGGGAGAAGCGTTCTCCAATAGGGTAAGCGGAGGAAGGGGGGTGGGGTAGGAAGCGACAGCACAGCGCTATGGCTGTTTGTAATTCAGCATGGAGACACTTCTTAAGCAATTCTTTCCCTTGAACAAAACAAGCCAAAAGTGAACTACTAGTTGCAGGTGAGACGAGCCTAAACGTTACACCGACCATTCTCTGCCCTTCCCTCCCCTTCCATTCAGTACATCACAAAATTGAACTAGAAGCCGAAATGTGTTTGTTTCTTTTAAAATATTTGCCAATTAGGAAATATGTATTTTAGCAGCTAATCCACCTTCTAGCTTTCCTTTTAACTTACCTTTCTTTTGGGCATTGTTGCAGCTCTCTACAGGAGATTTTAACAGTCGGCAGAAAAAAAAGCTGAAAGCACTCTCCGCTCGACCGCTCCGAGAGCAACTGAGTTTTCAATGAACTAATTGCAGCACGACCTGTACTCGCCTCGCCTCCTTCCCCCTTCCCCTCCTCCCCCCCCTCCAAAAAAAAAAATCTCTCGTTATTGGCAACATTAAACACACCAAGACGAAAACCGAACTACCTGAATGGTTAGCTGGAGTGGGAGCCAGTTGGAGTGACAGGTCATCAGGCCAATGAGGGGAGGTGACCAGCCCAGGAGGCGTGGTCCACGGACTCGCCCTGAGCACTCCTGTGCTACCAGCTTGGCCCGCCGGTGGGGGAGAGGAGCGCGTGGACTTGGAAGACGCAAAGTGCTAAAAGCATAAAACCAGTGGGAAAGCCGGAGCTGCCTTGATCATTCCCCCTCACCCCCCTTTATGTTGTAATGACAGGCGGAAGTCACTGCAGTTTTCTCCACAGTCTCCAAAACCTCCACTTTTACTTCTTCCCGGGGGCGGGGTTGGGAGGTGCTTTTGACAACTGGTTGAGCGTAGGCTCCAGTTTTTGCATTTTACCTTTGCTGAGATGAACTGAGCGCTCCTTCAGAAAGTAGAAAAGAGTGAAGTTGTTTCTCTGGTGGTGAGTACTTTCCGCCAAAGCAGAATTGTGGCCCCGAGGCTAGGAAAGCGCCCAAATGGCCTGTCTTCTGCCATTGGAGAGGAGCAACAAAACTGGGAGCTGGAAGAGCAGGAGGTGCCTGAAGGCAGGGACACCTGAAAAGTACTATTATCCCACTTGGTGGGAGTCCACCGAGAATTCAACAGGATCCCGCGTGAGGTTTGTAATAACAGAGGTCTATCCAAAGGAAAAGTGCTGATGAAATGTATTTTGAATCCAAAGGAAGGCCCACATATGAAAGTGTTTAGGACTCAATTCTGGACTAGGATTAAGTGTATAAGGCACTCACCTCTGGCGCAAAATTAAGGATACCCCCAAACGCAGGAGATGAAAGTGAAGTGACTGAGGTCAGTGGTCGGCAAACTCATTAGTCAAGAGCCAAATATCAACAGTACAACGATTGAAATTATTTTTGAGAGCCACATTTTTTTAAACTTAAACTTCTCCTAACGCCACTTCTTCAAAATAGACTTGCCCAGACCTTGGTATTTTGTGGAAGAGCCACACTCAAAAGAGCCAAAGAGCCGCATGTGGCTCGCGAGCCACAGTTTGCCGACCACCGAGGTAAGCCATGCAAGTGCAGGGTAGGATCCTGTCATTATCTAAATTTTGATATTTTGTCCATCATGGACTCTACATTAATTTACATCTTTAAACTAGTGTATTAAAATTTATCTTCATTATTGAGTTTTGGGGAACCCTTTATAGTTTGTGCCTAAGGAGAGGGCTTCCCTCGACTCATCTGCCTAGTCCTAGCCATTTAAGTGGATTTCTACTGTAAAGGAGGCTTCTATCTGCCTTTCAAAGTTATTTTCTGAGATCTAAAGGTCGTTGGAGTGGGGGAGGGAATTGGCAAATAGGTACTTGAATATAATTATGAGTAAAACATAGAATACAAGTTTTTGAAGCTCTTTGTCACAGCGCCTTGCTTTGGTTGTTGTAACAGCTAATTGGACTTAAAAGTGCTCTAATAACAGCTCAAATCCCTATTCTGGAAGTTTGTTTTTGTTTGTTTTTTGTTGTTGTTGTTGTGTGTGTGTGTGTGTTTAAAGGAAATAAACCTTTTGAACATTAAGAGAAAAAATTCATTCTATTCAGGTGGATTCAATAAAATTGGAATTGTGAGTATAAAAACAAATATTCACAGCTGTTACAGAATACCAAACCATCCCTTCAAATTAAAATACAGTCTAACTGCCCAGCCAGTGTTGCTCAGTGGTTGAGAGTTGACCTATGAATCAGGAGGTCATGTTTTGATTCCCAGTCAGGGCTTATACCCAGGTTGTGGGCTTGATCCCCATTGTGGGGAGTGCAGGAGTCAGCCAATCAATGATTCTATCTCATCATTGATGTTTCTCTCTCTCTTCCTCTCCCTCTCTGAAATCAATAAAAATATATTTTAAAAATAAAATAAAATACAGCCTATCAAAAAAAGAAACATTATTTTTATTTTTATTCATTATTCTGCAGCACCTACAGTGTGTAATTAAACAGATAAGGTAGTATAACACTATTTGAGTGCAACTCAATTTCCCTCCTCCAACTTCATATTGCATTGTAATTCCATTAGGTAAATCAGAAAGACATTTGAAATTCTTTCCTTTGCCCATCATTATTAGGCTCATATCTAGATACCCTAGATGTTTCTTTTTACCTTTATGGTGAAAGCATTAATGGATAAGACTAGCTGTGTTTTAATCACTTTATTTTCTAAGAGCTAGAAGGTAAACATAAAAGTTGGGTTCAATATAAGGATTGCCTCATAAGGATAAAGAGAAATATAAAGAACATGAAGGGAGTGAAAAAAGTATCAATATTGAAACACATTTATTCAACAAATATGTATTTAGCATTATTTTGTGAGTTGGATTTTGATTTTGTAGGCTAGTTTAAGAAAACATAAAACCCTGGGGCATGAAAACTTGCATTGCGTGGTTTCTGACTTCAATGCTTTTTATGTTTGTAGGATAGAGCAAACAGATGCATACATATTTATAAAATGAGGTTGCTTGTAAGTTGTGCAATGTAAGCACAATTTGCTCTGAATTGCTGAGTAGATTGTTATATTATATCAAATGCAGAGATAGGAAAAGTTTGTTCTTATTCTGAGAACAGAATGCCTTGCCCAAAGTGAGTTGAAACAAATGATTATGAGGAGCCTTGGGAGGTAAGACAGTTTGGAGGCAAAGCAAAATGTTTCAGGTCACTGAACTCTAAGATTCCTCTTAAGTTTGTCAGCAATTTTCTTTTTTAGTCAGTTTTTCTTCCATGCAGTCTACCTGTTGCAACTGTGATTTATGTCTTATCAGAATGCAAAAATAGTCATGCATGCATAAGAAATTTTTCTGTGTGAAGCATTTCTTTAATTCTTGACCTCCACCCTCCATGTTCTTCTTTTCTACCATTAACCAGGTGGTCTTTTGTACAACTCAACCTGCCCTAGGCTCTTTGCTTTTGCTATATTATTACTATCCACTGAAGTCCCATTCTCTTATATCAAATGTCTATCAAACTGTGCAGACCCCAGTCAAATATTACCTCTGAGAAAAAAAAGTCTTCTCCAATAATCCTAGCACTAAAAGATCCTACCTTATTGTTATACTATAGAATTTAGATTGTACAACTCATATGACACAAGAAAACTTGATATTTTCCACTACCTCCCCTACAACTCAGTCCTACTTGACATTTAGTTGAAATTTTATATATTTACTTTCCCTTGTTTGAATATTTTCTCAGTACATCACACTATATACATCCTATAGAATTTACTAACTTTAGAAACTATTTTTCTAAAATTTATAAATTATTTCTTAGTAAAGTTTTTTACTTTTGTACAATTGTTGAAGTGAGCCTTTTTATTGGTTCATTTTCTCCCTAAAATTACATTGGTTTATCTTTTTAGAATATTTTTTAATGACTATGAAAGTTGATTGCCAGACACTTCTTTGCAGGACCTTCTAATTTTCACTGGGCTTTAAGTATGCCTACTTCCACACTGAAAACTTATAGGAGCATGTCTATTTTACTAACAATTGAGAAGTGACATGAGATGATTTAAAATATTATAGAGGAAAGACACCATTAACATTATCATGCTTGAGACAGAAAATCCAAAAGAAAATATGTGTTTATTAATAAAAAGATGCTAGATAGTAAAGATAAATGAGATCTTCAAATTTTCTGTGTAATCATAGTTTAAAATATATTAATAATGCATATTAAAAGTTTTTAATATTTAAAACTGCTTTGCATGAAATCGGATCTCAAAAATACTGATTAATAATAATAAAAAATATTTTCTTTTCCTTATTAAATTAGCTTTAATTTTGGCCTCATTCATTACCATTATTATCCTTATTATATTAACAAAAAATGGAAAATATAAAAAAAACCTATTTACTATTGTTAGGAAATAATAATGTAAGACTTCTAACATATAATTAAAATACTGTATTTTAAATATGTAGTGTCCCAAAAAATGTTGTATACTCCAACAGCTGTTCTATTACATTATGAAAATGAAATGTATTTTAATGAACACTATTTTTATAATTATTCAAACTGTGCATACCCTGTATTGTTAGTTGTTGGTTTTAGCAGGCAAAATAAATGTATCAATACTGGTTCAATATAATGAGCCAAATATATCAATGTACTTATTTTTAATTATTTTTTATCAATGTACTTATTTTTGAGCTTTGTTTAAGATTTGTTTGAGGAATTTGCTTAGATTGATGACAGCACTTAGCTGAAACTCTGGAAAAAATATAACCCTGGGACTCAAAGCCTCCCATATTCTATGTTTATTCATAGCAGGCCTGAGACTAATAAAATATTGAATTAATGAGTGGCCCCTGATATGAAGGATCTGGAAAGTATGTTTTTAAGAAGGAAAAGGAATATAATACAATTTTACGTTTTTAACTGGAAAATTTTTACCTACTCTTAAAGTAATCATCCTACGTAATAAAAGAATTATATGCAAATTAACTTTCACTCCACTGTACCCACAAGCCACGCTCACCAGCCAATCAGAGCAAGTATGCAAATAAACCCAACCAAGATGGCTACAGCCACAGAGAGCAGGAGGGAGACTTGGGTTTCCCAGGCAATGGAAGAAGCCAAGCTTTCTGCCTGCCCTAGCTGGCCTAGGCTTCCACTCAAGGCTACAAAGTTTCAATTGTAGAAGGTAAATAAATTCCAGATACCAGGGCCTCCACTTGGGTTGCCAGGGGTGGTGGCTGGCCTGCTAACCATCACAGGCCCCTTGCTCAGGCAGTCCCATGTCCCAAGTGAACC